GCTTCCCCCCAGGTGTGGGCAAGACTGTGGCCCTCACTTAGTTGAGTCTCTGTTCAAATATCCATACACCTGTCCTCAAGCCCACTTATATAAAACAGCATACCTCCATCCACCTCATTCATTCATTCTTTCAACAAATATTTATTGAGCTGCAACTATGTACCTGGCACTGTTCTAGGCACTGGAAATACATTCCTGAACAAAATGGACAAATATTTCTGCCCTCATATTGCTTAAAGCCTGATGTGGTGAGAGTAAGAACATGAAGTATAACACATAATATATGTTACAAAGTGATTTCTAAGTGATGTTAGAAAGTGATTATGTTGTTTCTAACATAATCATAGGTGAGAAAGTGATTACGTGGTATTGGAAAAAAGCTGAAGCTAAGGGGAAGTGAGGTTGCCAGAACTTGTGTGTGTGTATGTATTATAGGGGTTTTATTTTAGTTTTTGGTCAAAACATGTACTTAGATAGGAAAACCTGGTAGGGTTCAGAGTGCTCTTCCATTTCACTGGACAACTAAAATAGCCACTTACTCTATTTAGTCTCCTTCCATCTGATCTTGATCTGTTAGCTTCTTCTTCCTTTTATTTTTTTTTTAATTTTTATGTTATATTGGGGCCTAGTTGATTAATAATGTGTTAGTCTCAGGTCTAAAGCAAAGTGATTCAGTTATACATATATTAATATCCTTTTTTACATTCTTTTCCCATTTAGGTTGTTACATAACATTGAGCAGAGTTACCTGTGCTATACAGTAGGTCCTTTTTGGTTATCCGTTTTAAATATGCAGTGTGTACACGGCTATCCCAAACTTACAACCTATCTCTCCCCCCAACCTTTCCCCTCTGGTAACCGTAAGTTTGTTTTCTAAGTCTGGGAATGTATTTCTGTTTTGTAAATAAGCTCATTTGTATCTTTAAAAAAAAAAAGATTTATAGAGGTTTCAGTTTATTGATATGGTCAGTGTAGGATGCTTTGGGAAATTGACTGTCTCAGGCAACTCTTACAATATATCATAGACTGGGTGGCTTGAACAACAGAAATTTATTTTCTCACGTTCTGGAGGCGTGAAGTCCAGGATCATGGTACCAACAAGGTGAGAGCTTCCCTTCCCGCCTCACAGATGCTGCCATTTCACTGCATCCTCCTGTGACAGGGAGAGCAAGCTATCTGTCCGTTCTTGTAACAGCACTGATTCCATCATGAGAACCTCACCCTTTCGACCTTATCTAAACCTCATTACCTTACAAGGCCCCATCTCCAAATACCAACACACTGGGGTTTAAGACTTCAACACATGAATTTGGGGGAACATAACTCAGCTCATAGCAATGACCATCGAGCAGGTTCTTGAAGAAGTGGAGGCATGAACCATCTGAATATTAGGAAGAGTGTTCCAGGCAGAGAAAGCAGCAAAGACCAAGGCCCTGAGCTGAGATGGTGCCTACGTGCATCTGAGCAGCAAAGAGGCCTGCAGGGCTGGAGCGAGTGAGCAAGGGGAGAGTGAAGTGGTCCGGGGGGTGGGGGAAGATCGATAGGGCTTTGTAAGCAAGTGCAAGGACTTGAATTTTGGTTTTTTTGTTTGTGTTTTTAAGAGGTGGATTTATTTAGAGAGATACACATTCCAGGTGGTGCAGTGGTAAAGAATCCATCTGCCAATGCGGGAGACGCAAGAGACACAGGTTCGATCCCTGGGTTGGAAAGATCCCCTGGAGAAGAACACAGCAACCCACTCCAGTATTCCTGCCTGGAGAATCCCATGGACAGAGGAGCCTGGTGGGCTACAGTCCATGGGGTTGCAAAGAGTTGCACAGGACTGAACTGACTGAGCACACACATATACACATTCCACAGACAAAATGCTGTTGGTCTCAAAAGGTGAAAAAAACCTTGGGAGAAACACTCCACAGAGAAAGCATGGGCTGTCTCAGCAGGCAAGAGACCAGGACTTGAGTTTTATTCTGAGAGAAATGGGGAGCCACTGGCAGGTATGAAGAGTCTACTAGAGAAGGGATGTTCCTGGGTGGGTGTTAGGAAATACGATCTCAAGAACAGGTGAGGGCTCTATAGCACAGGGGACTCTGCTCTATATTCTGTGGCAACCTGGGTGGGAGGGGAGTTTAGGGGAGAATGGATATTTGTATACGTTTGGCTGAGTCCCTTCATTGTTTACCTATAACTATCACAATAGTAATTGGCTATACCCCAATATACAATAAGTTAAAATTAAAAAAAAAAAAAAGAACAAGTGACGATTCCCTGTAAGTAGGAGCACAAGTGGTCCCGAAACAAGAGAGAAGGCAGAGTACAGGCACACGCATCCCCAATGCCGTGCGCTGTTACCCCCGTGGCACCTGTCACCATCTGTCAAATTATACAGTCACGTGTTTCTTGTTTATTGTCTTTTCCCTTCACTGGACTGTGAGCTCCACCGACTCAGTGATCCTGGTATTCAACTGCTGTTTCCCTAGAACCATGCCTGGCATGTAAAAACACCAAATACTTTAAAAATTCTTTGCCTGGATGACTGGCCAACTGAGAAAGAGAGAAGATAAGGTTTGCAGTTCTAGCTATATTCCATTCTCCATATTTTGAAAATCACATATCGCACAGCAGAAAAAAGAGCTGTACCCGTCCCCAGTCCATTGCGATATGAGCTGATGCTGTTCTTATTTTCAGATTCAGGCTTGGTGGCGTGGAATGATGGTACGCAAAGGATGTGGGAAATTTGAAGAACTGCTAAAATTGCAAAAGAAGGGAAGGAATTCTCCAAAAGATAAGAAAGGAAAGAAAGATGTAAAAGGAAAACCTGTAAAGAAAAATAAATAATTGGATAAATGTATGAATTGAGGTAATGAAACCTGGTGGATTAAGAAGGCAAAATCTCTAGGAATTAGATGCCTATCATATAAAAATTATTCACAGAGTTATCAGTTCGGTTCAGTCACTCAGTCGTGTCCGACTCTTTGTGACCCCATGGACTGCAGCATGCCAGGCCTCCCTGTCCATCACCAACTCCTGGAGTTTACTCAAACTCATGTCCATCGAGTTGGTGATACCATCCAACCATCTCAAACTCTTGTCGTCCCCTCCTCCTCCTGCCCCCAATCCCTCCCAGCATCAGGGTCTTTTCCAATGAGTCAACTCTTTGCATGAGGTGGCCAAAGTATTGGAGCTTCAGCATCAGTCCTTCCAATGAACACTCAGGACTGATCTCCTTTAGGATGGATTGGTTGGATCTCCTTGCAGTCCAAGGGACTCCCAAGAGCCTTCTCCAACACCACAGTTCAAAAGCATCAATTTTTCAGCGCTCAGCTTTTTTCACAGTCCAACTCTCATCCATACATGACCACTGGAAAAACCATAGCCTTGACCAGACAGACCTTTGTTGGCAAAGTAATGTCTCTGCTTTTTAATATGCTATCTAGGTTGGTCATAACTTTCCTTCCAAGGAGTAAGCGTCTTTTAATTTCATGGCTGCAATCACCATCTGCAGTGATTTTGGAGCCCCCCCAAATAGACAGTTTCCACTGTCTCCCCATCTATTTCCCATGAGGTGATGGGTTATAGTTACATATAAATATAAAGATTCTTTTACTGAAATGTTTATGGATAAAATGCTTTGATGTCTGGGAATTGCTTCAGAATAATAGCAGAGAGAGATAAGTGTAGATGATCCAAATGAACCAATAAGTGTGCTTAGTCACTCAGTCACGTCTGACTCTCTACGACCCCATGGACTGTAGCCCACCAAGCTCCTCTGTCCGTGGGACTATTTTCCAGGCAAAAATACTGGAGTGTGTTGCCATTTCTTTCTCCAGAGGATCTTCTCTACCCAGGGATCGAACCCAGGTCTCCTGCATTGCAGGCAGATTCTTTACTGTCTGACCCACCAGGGAAGCCCTAAAATGAACCAAGATCAGCCATAAATTGTCATTGTAAAAGCACGTGATAGGTACATGGAGGTTCACTATACTATCATGTCTGCTTTTAAAACTGTTAATTATGAAACAATTCACAGGATGTTCCAAAGAAATGTACAGAAAGGTCCATGCACCCTTCACCCTTCCTCAGTGTTGACATCCTCCATGACTATAGGAATGGACGTCAGTACCATCCACAGGCCTTATTCAGATTCCGTCACTTATACATGCACTTGTCACTTATTTGTGAGTGTGTGTGTAGTCCAATGCAATTTTCTTACATGCAGCTTTTGTGTAGCCACCACCACAGTCAAGATACAGAATTGTTCTATCACCACTTGTGCTGTTACCCTTCACCACACCTACCACCTGTCTCTCTTCCAGCCCCTGACCTGTAATTTTGTTATTTCAGGAGGATCATATAAATGGAATCACATAATAAGTAGCATTTGGGGACTGGCCTTTTTATTTTGCATAATTCACTTCCAGTCCATCCAAATGGTGCACGTAGCAATAGTTCATTCCTTTCCGGTTGCTGAGTAGTAGTGCATAGTTTGTTCACCATCCACCCATTGAAAGGTGTTTCTCTGTTTCCAGTTTTTGGCTAGTATGAATAAAGTCGCTCCGAACATTTACTCAGAGAAGTGAAGGATCATTACCTAAAACATCCCCATTTATCCTAATCAAGACTTCTTCACCCTGATGACTTTTTCTTTTGGAATAATATTGATTTCAAATTCAACATGTCCTTCAAGCAATGATTATAATATGAATTATTAGTGTAGCAAGAAGAAAGCAAAACATAATATGATTAGAATATATCAGAATAGAAATGTGTGAGCAGATCCCTCTGCCATGCAATGAATTTCATGCTCTAGTAAGAGAAAACCAGAAATTCCCAAAATCACTGACAGCAACACAGGAACTTTAATTAATGAATTAAATAGGTTTTTATGAGGCAAATTCCATGTCCAGGAAATGCTCAGAGGTATTAGTAATATGTTAATTTGTTTATTTTAGCAACAAAATATTTTACTTTATTTTAACAAGTTATGATTTTGATTCTGGGTTTTGAATTTTTGATCATTTTTAATGAAGATCTGTATGTCAGTGACCATTGTTTGTACTCATGGTTTGTATCTGATATAAAAGGCAAGAGAACAAAAAACAATAAACAACTGAAGGGCATACTTTCTGATGAAGATTACATTTCCATCAGACCACATTGAGACACATATGATGATAAAGATAACATGAAAATGTTCCACATTTTCACATTGGTGCCTTCACATTGGAATTTTACACACTCACATAAATACACACCCCTATATTTAAAACATTTAGTAAAAGAGGCAGAAAATTCTAGAGAAAGAAAAAAGGAGATGTGTTACTGGAATCTAAACATTTTGTCAGGCCTTCTAAATAGAAAATGAACTATGTATCCAAACAAATGAAAACCCATTGAAAAATGCCACCATTGTTTCATAAAATAGAGCATAAAATGGCATGTTCATATTAGATTATCCTAGACATATATTTACAAAGCTCTTGTAACATGAATCACAGCTCAGAAGCTGGTATTCCTTTGACTTCACCAGGATTCACTCATGTTCTTTTCTTCTTCCTTTGGGTGACATGTAGTTTAGTTAAGCCTTGGAAAATCAGCTTACTGAAACCCACCATGGTCAAAGTGAATGCTGCTTCTCTGATCTTGGTCAAAGCCTTGTAGTTCTTCCTCCTGTGAAGCTGAGAGAAGCCACCTCTTCATTCCTATCTCAGTGATCTTGGGAAGTTTGGTCACGGCACTTAGCAAGTGTCTAAACCATTGTCCGCACTTCCTAAAAGTTGATGGCCGAAGGCTTATATCCAGCTCAGTTAATTCCTTGAGGAGCCACAGGTTTTGGCAGAAGATGGTCCATCCTGCCTCACAGATGCTGTCGTTATAACTCAGGTCCAGCTTCTGCAGCCTGGTCAGGTGACCTGTCTGAATTACTGATGCTGAAAAATAAAATCACTCTGCTAAAAGCCAAGAACACTTGCTAGTCAACTGTTTCCCACTTCCAATAACACAACACACTAGCTCCAGGATTTGTAATAAGAGTGGCACTAAGATGACACCACCCTTATGGCAGAAAGTGAAGAGGAACTAAAAAGCCTCTTGATGAAAGTGAAAGACGAGAGTGAAAAAGTTGACTTAAAGCTCAACATTCAGAAAACTAAGATCATGGCATCCAGTCCCATCACTTCATGGCAAATAGATGGGGAGACAGTGGAAAGAGTGTCAGACTTTATTTTGGGGGGCTCCAAAATCACTGCAGATGGTGACTGCAGCCATGAAATTAAAACACGCTTACTCCTTGGAAGGAAAGTTATGACCAACCTAGATAGCACATTAAAAAGCAGAGACATTAGTTTGCCAACAAAGGTCCGTCTGGTCAAGGCTATAGTTTTTCCAGTGGTCATGTATGGATGAGAGTTGGACTGTGAAGAAAGCTGAGTGCCAAAGAATTGATGCTTTTGAACTGTGGTGTTGGAGAAGGCTCTTGAGAGTCCCTTGGACTGCAGGGAGATCCAACCAGTCCATCCTAAAGGAGATCAGTCCTGGGTGTTCATTGGAAGGACTGATGCTGAAGCTGAAGCTCCAATACTTTGGCCACCTCATGCAAAGAGTTGACTCATTGGAAAAGACCCTGATGCTGGGAGGGATTGGGGGCAGGAGGAGAAGGGGATGACAAGAGTTTGAGATGGTTGGATGGCATCACCAACTCGATGGGCATGAGTTTGAGTTGGTGATGGACAGGGAGGCCTGGCATGCTGTGATTCATGGGGTCGCAAAGAGTTGGACACGACTGAGCGACTGAACTGAACTGAACTGAAGTAATAGAATGTTATTAGCTAGCAGTTTTTTTTTCAGGGCATTTGAAATTACTCTGGTAACACCTCTCTGCATCCCATGTACAGCTTGAAAATGGATTTTTTTCTCTTTCCAAATTCCAACCCAAAGAATGTCTTTTCTGGTTGAGTTCATGCTCTCTGCTCTCATGGAGCCCCAGCTCTTGCTGCAGGCTTTCTTTCATTAAATGTGAGGAGTGACTTCTCACTGGCTTTAACTCAGGATCATTTGTGAATAGTCTTCTTGCTGTTTAATGCTGTTTCATTATTCATTGTTTATTCACTTATTCTTCATTCAACAGTTATTTAATTGAGTACTTTCCATGGGCAAAATATACTTGGATAATTTCTAATTCATGGGTCAATTAGAACCTTTCATACATGGGTCAGTTTTTCCTTTGACTAGCACACATTAGGTAGTATCACAGTGCTACCTAAAATGGCTCTTAATAAATAACAGTTAATGAGGAAGCTAAGAAAAGGAGAGAGGAGAGACAGCCAGAGCAGACAACATGTGCTTCCCTTTTCAGCCAAAAGCAGGAATGGGTTATAGAGATGAGATGGGCAGAATCTCAGAGCTGGAAGGGACCCTGGAGGGCTCCTCATTCAACCTCTAGATGGATGATCAGAGAAAAATCCCTCTCACAGCTTCTCTAAGGGGGACCAGCCCAATTCTGCCTGAAGCCCCTTTCAGGTTGCCCCAACAGAGGGAAGCAGCTCTCAGCTGGAGGAAGCCATGCCTCTGGGCCCCATCTGACCTTGCCACTGCCTACCTGCTGGGAATTAGCTCCCTCCACATGCCAACCATGCAGTGTTGGACAACAGTCAGATCCCCGCAAATGTCCCCCTTTTAGGACTAAACATGCCCTGGTCCTTCAGTCATTTGTTACACATCATGGCTTCCAGACCAAGCAGGATGCTCCATTCCCATCAAGGCTTACTATAAATCTTTAGTAACCAAGACAGTATGAAATTGGTAAAAGAATAGACACATAGACCAATGGAGGCTTCCCTGGTGGCTCAGTGGTAAAGAACTTACCTACATTTTCTTCTTACCCCCTTAACAGTATCTTTCACACAGCATAACTCACAGTTTTGATAAAGATCTATTTATCAATTTGCTAATTTGGTGGGCAGAGCTTTCTGTGTTATATCTTAAAAACTTTTTGCAAAACTCAAGTTCCCAAGTATTTTTCCTAGATTTTATTCTAAAGGTTTTACATTTACATTTTACGTATCCATTTTGAGTTATTTTTGTCCAAGTTGTGAGATATAGGCTGAAGTTAATATTTTTGTGTATGATAGCTCAATTAATCAAGCCTTCAACTAATCAAGCCATTAGTTGAAAAGCCTTACTGAATTGATTTTGCATTTTTGCCAAAAATCAACCCCATGGACTGTAGCCTGCCAGATTCCTCTGTCCATGGGATTCTCCAGGAAAGAATACTGGAGTGGGTTGCCATTTCCTTCTCCAGGGGATCTTCCCGACCCAGGCATTGAACCCATGTTTCTTGTGTCTCCTGCATTGGCAGGCAGATTCTTTACTACTAGCACCATCTGGGAAGCCCTCATTAGTCATTCAGTTCAGTTCAGTTCAGTTCAGTTGCTCAGTCGTGTCTGAGAAAGAGAAAAAAATCCATTTTCAAGCTGTACATGGGATGCAGAGAAGTGTTACCAGAGTAATTTCAAATGCCCTGAAAAAAACTGCTAGCTAATAACATTCTATTACTTCAGTTCAGTTCAGTTCAGTTCAGTCGCTCAGTCGTGTCCAACTCTTGTGACCCCATGAATCACAGCATGCCAGGCCTCCCTGTCCATCACCAACTCCTGGAGTTTACACAAACTCATGCCCATCGAGTTGGTGATGCATCTCAAACTCTGTCGTCCCCTTCTCCTCCTGCCCCCAATCCCTCCCAGCATCAGGGTCTTTTCCAATGAGTCAACTCTTTGCATGAGGTGGCCAAAGTGTTGGAGCTTCAGCTTCAGCATCAGTCCTTCCAATGAACACCCTATCTTGATTCCAGCTTGTGCTTCTTCCAGCCCAGCGTTTCTCATGATGTACTCTGCATATAAGTTAAATAAGCAGGGTGACAACATACAGCCTTGACGTATTCCTTTTCCTATTTGGAACCAGTCTGTTTTTCCATGTCCAGTTCTAATTGTTGCTTCCTGACCTGCATACAGGTTTCTCAAGAGGCAGGTCAGGTGATCACACATTAGTCATTAGGGAAATCCAAAATAAAATCACAGTGATTTGTCCCCATCTTCTAATTACAGTGTTTGGCCATAACACTTGTTTTGAAAGCACGTATTTATTCCAACTAGATTGCAATATCAGAGAACAGTGTGAATGTAACACGAATTTCTTGTTTGCTTACACATAATTCATCCACAGGAAACACAAGGTGAACAGAAAAAAACTACACCTAGCTGAGCAAAGCCAGGAATAGGCGTAAAGAAAATTCACACATGCACAGCCCTCCCAAGGACAAGGAGCCTTGCCCAGCCACATCCAGTTCCAACTTTCTATTATATGTCAGATAATCCTCCTTCTTCCACCCCATATCTGTATCTATCTCCTTTTGCTTTTTTTTAATGGTTGGCTGTACCTGGTGGCTTGCAGGATCTTAGTTCCCCAACTAGGAATAGAACCTGCACACTCAAAAGTGACAGCGTGAAGTCCTAATCACTGGACCACAGGGAATTCCTCCATCTCCTTGTATGAACCAGTCTCTACTGTGTATTTGGTGTTAGAATTGCCTGTGTCTATTTTAGGGCTTCCCGGGTGGCTCAGTGGGTAAAAGATCTACCTGCAATGCAGGAGGGATGCAGTTTCGATCCCTGGGTTGGGAAGATCCCCTGCAGGAGGGCATGGCAACCCACTGCAGTGTTCTTGCTGGAGAATGCCAAGGACAGAGAAGCCTGTTGGGCTCCAGTTCATGGGGTTGCAAAGAGTTGGACATGACTGAAGTGACTGAGCACAAACCAGCTTTCTCCCAAGCCGATGTCAAGGAGCAGGGAAGGTGCGCAGAGAGCTTAACTCCAGGCCTCATTGCCTCCTCCGCCTCCCTTCCCCCAGGCTGGCAGGGCAGGCACACGGGGCTCTGAGAGTCAGGACGGCTTTGGAACCAGAAGATACACACCCAAGAGAGCCATGTCCTCTGTCACCAGGGAACAGCTGCTCAGCCTCAGCACTTGAAGAGACATTGAACGCTTTAGCATCTCCAGGAGCAGCTTCAGGTTGCCGCCAATACACTTATTCCAAGAAAGGTTGACTATTTTCAGAGCAGGGAGGTGAATGGAGGCTTCAGCTGAAATTGACAGCAATAAGAATAGCAATAACTTAGACTTCCTTAGAGGTCATAAACTTTGAACTTGAGCAACCTAGGCTAGGGCAACATCATTAGCACTGAGTTAAGAGAGTCATGGGCTTCCCTGGTGTCTCAGATGGTAAAGAAACTGTCTGCAATGCAGGAGACCTGGGTTTGATCCTTGGGTTGAGAAGATCTCCTGGAAGAGGGCATGACAACCCACTGCAGTATTCTTGCCTGGAGAATCCCCATGGACAGAGGCACCTAGTGAGCAACAGTCCATGGGGGTCACAAAGAATCAAACATGACTGAGCAACTAGCACATTTACTTTCAGAGACATCTTAGTTGCAGCATGTGGGATCTAGTTCCTGACTGGGGATCAACCCTGGGTCCCCTGCTTTGGAGTGTGGAATATTAGCCCATGGACCACTAGGGGAATCCTGAGATCCAGCAGTCTTTGGATTAAATTGGGTGAAAGAGGGACATCATTTCTGGGTGTGGGCAGTACCCTCCACAATTCCTTGTTTCTCCTGCCTGAAATCCATGGATTCAATTTATGTTGCCTATTTTCATTTGAAAGAAATTTTGGAAACTTCAGAAAAGTAAAACTTGGTTAAATGGTTAATTCACTATCAACTGGCATTTCTTTCCTTCACCTCACGTTTAAGAAGGAGAGAGCATTTGGAAGAAATTTTGGAAACTTCAGAAAAGTAAAACTTGGTTAAATGGTTAATTTACTATCAACTGGCATTTCTTTCCTTCACCTCACGTTTAAGAAGGAGAGAGAGGTAAACAGTTTTCTCATCTAGTCAAGATTTCCAGAGTGTGTTCTGCTTTTAAACATCCCACTGGCTTCTGAAATGGAGACAAGGCCAAACCTTCCTGGAACTCTGAAACACCAAAATGTATTGTGTTTACTTAACTGCAGTTACAGAAACAAGGAAGGGAAATAGTGTATCTTGGAACGATGTTTAAAGGAAATGGAAGGATTTTCTGCCTAGTTCATAGTTTCCCCTAACATTAAAACTAACCAGAGCAACTTATTCACAAGGTATAGTCATTAATTACATTTTACATTTTCTTTCTAAAAAATGTTTGAGGGGTAGATATATATTCTTTTTATAATATCTAATAAGAACACGCCTCCCACTCATATGATTCAGTGACCTATTAACAAGAAATTGAACTTTTTACTCTAAAAATGATATAAAGAAATATGTATATATTTACTAGATATATATTTATATATGTGTGTATATTTATATGCATAAATACATATTTATATGTGTGTGTTTATATGCGTAAATACATATATATATTTCTTTGTATATATTTACTTCTTTTTTATTGTTGGTTTACTTCTTAATTCAAATGGAATTAAGCAGATCTTCCCTGACTTATGGTGGGATTGCATTCTGATAAGTTGAAAATATCTTAAGTAAAAAATGAATTTAGTACACCTAGGTCATCAGTATAACTTTGCCTAACCTGGTGGCTACAACAGTCCACGGGGTTGCAAAGAGTCGGACAAAACTGAAGTGACTTGGCACACACGCACACAACCTACCTAAACATTCTCAGAACACTTATATTCATCCACAGTTGGGCAAAATCATCCTACACAAACCCTATTTTATACTTAAGTGTTGGATATTTCGTGGAATTTATTGAATACTATACTGAAAGTGAAAAACAGAGCTGTCTGGGTACAGAGTGGTTGTTAAGTCTGCCTTTATGATAGCATGAGAGACTATCATACCACATTATATATCATTAGCTCAGGGGAAGATCAAAATTCCAAGTGTGATTTCTACTGAATGTATATTGCTTTTAGAAAGTAAAAGCCACTCAGTCATATCTGACTCTTTGCAACCCCATAGACTATATAGTCCATGGAATTCTCCAGGCAAGAATACTAGAGTGGGTAGCTGTTCCCTTCTCTAGGGGATCTTCCCAACCTAGAGATCAAACCCAGGTCTCCTGCATTGCAGGTGGATTTTTTTACCAGCTGAGCTACCAGAGAAGTCATTACATCATCTTAAAGTTGAAAACTCTTATGTTAAACCATGGTTAAGTCAGGGATTATCTGTAGATTCATGTCACGTGATGCAATTTAGTGTCATATCTACTTGATTATGATTCTTTGATTGTGTAGCTATAATTGAAAAGAGTATGCTTCTGATGGCCCATCAGACTCACAGCAATCTCAATTTATATTGACCTCGGTGGAATTACAAGGTACTACAAACGTGAACCTCCAGAGTTGGTTATACAGCCATCCCTCCATATAGACAGGGATATTGTTTCCAGAATCCATCAATACTGAAGTCCCTTATGTAAAGTGGCATAGAATTTGCACATAATATATGCACATCCTCCCATATATACTTTAAATCATCTCTGTGCTGTGCTAAGTCGCTTCAGTTGTGTCCAACTCTTTTCAACCCTATGGACTGTAGCCCACCAGGCTCCTCTGTCCATGGGATTCTTCAGGCAAGAGTACTGGAGTGGGTTGCCATGACCTCCTGCAGGGTATCTTCCTGACCCAGGGATTGAACTCACAACTCTTCTGCATTGGCCGGTGGGTTCTTTACCACTAGCATCACCTATATAATACCTAACACAATATAAATTCTATCTATATAGACAGTTGCCTGAATGAGGCAAATTCAAGTTTTGCTTTTTGGAGAAAAAAAAAATTTCCAGAAATTTTTTCCAAATTGCTTTTGGTTGAATCCATGGATTTGGAACCCCTGGATACAAAGAGTCAACTATGCACACCTTAAAATGTTAAAGGTTAAATTTGCAAAAGCCAGAAGTCATCCATGTGGCTTTGAAAGTCACTTTTAAGAGAGCCTATTTCCTGAAAAGAAGACAGATTGATACTTCACTGTGCCTATGGCTGGGCCTTGGAATGAAATTCACTTGGAAACAGAGGCCTCTCTCTCTCGGGTGTTACCGCACCAGTGTCTGCAGGGATCCGGAGAATCGCTTACCCAGGGCGGTAAAAGTCTCACTCTCCAAAGCACAGTTGCTAATTATCAATGACTTCAACGCTGGTAAAAATCGGAGCCTGCTGAGTAGGTTTTCAGAAGAGCTACCCATCTCTTTGTTGGCAGATAAATCCAATTCCCGAAGGCTCGAGAGTAAAGGGATAACGGGAGCTGTTAAAACATCAAGAGGGACGTGGCTCAGGCAGCATCTCACAAGGGGTCTCTGGGTGTTGAGGTGCCACAGTCGTCTTGATCAGAAAGCATGGCGCTTGCCTATGTGACCCCTGCCCTTCCTTACACACCATTCCTCACCACACACGCCAGCCACTTTCCCCAGCATGCAGCTTGGGCTCTTCTCTAAGCCTCTCTCCAGGCCGCAAGTAGAGAGCAAAGACTTTGGAGACAGGGGAGACTGGGTTCTCATCCTGTTTGTTGCTAAAGAACAGTGTGACTTTGGGGAAGTTGCTTAACTTCTCTGAACCTCAGTTTTTCGATGATAAAAACAACAATAACTACTCCATAGAGAGAATGGGAAGATAAAACGACCTGGTATATATAAAGTGCCTGGTACAGTGCCTGGCACGCATTAACTGCTCAGTTAATGTTTGATATGGTCATCCTTTCCTCAAAATGTAAGTCAGAAGGCAATGAAATCAAGCAATCAGAACAGATGTCTGTTGGGACTTCCCTGGCAGCCCAGTAGTTGGGACTCCGCGCTTCCAATGCAGGGGGCCCTAGTTCAATCCAGGTTGGGGAACTAAGATCCTACATGCAGCTAAATTTTTTTTTTTAATTAAGGTATGTACATTGGTTTAAAAAAAAAAAAACAAACCCCACCAGATGTCTGTTGGTAACAGCACCAGAGTGGGGTCCTGAGGGCCCCTGCTGTGCCAGGAGGGACCCCTGTTTCCCTGTTTTGCTGCTGCTTTTCCTGCCTTCAGGCCTTTGCCCTAGTTCTTCCCAGTGTGGGAAATATAGTTTCCTGGGACCCCTGTGGGGCTGACTCACCTCCTCAGAGCCTTCCAGGGCCACCAAAGCCACAGGAACCCTGTGTTCACAATGACATCACCCTATTCTCTTTTCCTCCCAGGACCCCTATTGCGTGACTTGTTTGTGTATCTATTGTTCTTATGCAGATCTTCTGCCCTCCCTCACTGAAGGTGAGCTCTTTGTGTAGAGGCTGCTTCCTGCCCAGAATGTGCATCAGAGTCTGGAAATCGGAGGCACAAACGTTAGTGGAAGGAGAGAAAGACAGAAGAAAGGAAGGAAAAGGAAAGGATAAAAGAGGGCAGGTACTTGTGGTCCCTACAGATGCAACAGTTTCTCCCTCATCTGATGCCCACAGCACATTGTATTCACCATGTGTGCTAAGTCACTTCAGTCACATCCGACTGTCTGACTCCATGGACTGCAGCCTGCCAGGCTCCTCTGTCCATGAGATTTCCCAGGCAAGAAAACTGGAGTGGGTTGCCATTTCCTTCTCCAGGGGATCTTCACCACGTATTTGGTTTATTTCCACCCTCACCAAACTGAAGCTCCTGACTCTGAATTTCCCTTAGCCTTCAGCACAGGGCCTTGAACAACTAGATGATTGATCAGATGTCATTGGCTAAGTGATCTATAATTCCCTTTCTTTGAAGCCATTGAGAATGATCAGATAAAAGAATGTTCAATTCTTTAACATCACAAGGTAGAAAACAGGATGTATTTTCAATTCTGTCTTTTTAAAACTGAGCAGGAGGACCATGCAATTCTTATTAAATAACCATTACCTTTCTGGGGCCATTTATTCCCATTGGTGGCTGTGAATCCAGATAATAGAGGCTAATCTCTCAGTTGAACTATCGGTAACAATTCAAGTCCTCTAGCACTTTAATCTTCATCTGAGCAGCAAGATGAGATGTGAGGTTTGTGTTATTCAGTTGTAGCAGAGGAAATTCATTATTTGGAATCCAATGGCCTGATAATTCAGGAGTGTCTCCACAGGTATAACACTCATAAGTAAAAGGGATGCTGATTCCATCACAATCTCCACTTAAAGCTCAAAAAGGTATTGTTTACTATTTTAAAATCTTCATGAAAGACTCAAACTCATTTTATTTTCCCAAATTGAGGGATAAGAGTCTAAGAAATAAATTAGCAGGGCCAAAAGATCGATATTAGACCCAAAGACCTATTCTGCTGTTTTCTTCCCCCAATTGTACAAAACATGACAAAAATTTCTTTTTCTTGTTCTTTATTGATTGATTCATTCAATTGCACATTGAACAAGCATTTTCTGGGTGCCAACTCTGTGCCAGACCTTGTGCACAAACAATAGAGAGATACCAAAGAAAACCATCCCTACCTAGGAGGAGCCCATAGTTCAGAGAGAAAGCAGAGCATGGCTGGTGTGCGTGGGAGTCAGCACAGTGTAACTGGAGAAGTTGATGGGGAAAAGAAATATCGATTCCGTCAGAGTGACAGGAGCAGGAAAACCATCTAGACACTTGCAATAATCTAGGCATGAAACTGACAGTGGGCTGGAGCAGGATAGTAGAGGTCTAGACAGTGAGCCATGGTCAGATTCAGGATATATTCTGAAGGTTTATTGTGGCCACAGATGGAATAAAACCCTTAATCCCTATGGCTATGCTTGCTGTTTGTTAGGGGAAACTGCATATACATTACCTGTTACAGGACTATATCTGTGGGAGGAAAGTAAAGGTGGTGACCTAAAATTGTAATTATGCACTATCCACTTACTTTCTGTAACTTCACCTTATCTAAGTGCCTTGGCGTAACTTGTTAGAATGCCTCAGCGCCCTTTGTTTTGACTTTCCCTCTGCGTCCTTCTTTGTAATATGCTTTGTGACATTCACAGATTCATTTCTAAACAGTCACAGGAATTCAAAATTTCTTCCTCGAGTGCCACATCTATCCTTCACAGATATGTATAGGAGTTTAGATTCACTAACATTCACCAACTTGGTGGACATGAATCTGAGCAAACTCCAGAAGATAGGGAAGGACAGGGAAGCCTGGCCTGCTGCCATCCATGGGGTTGCAAAGAGTCAGACGTGTCTTAGCAACTGAACAACAACAACAGCAACATTTATTGGGCACCTAATATTTGCCAAATACTATACTGGGACATTCACAGAACTTTTATGATGTGATCCTCCCAGTAACTTCATGAACAGTACATCTCAGATTTGCCAGTTTCCCAAACATATGCCAAGGCTCTGAGAGTCCTCCCTCAGCTATGCAGAACCTACTTACTCAGGGACAACACGTCGTCAGCCGTCAGCGAGCACTGGTGAAGATCCAGCCCCTCCAGGTGCTCCAGCGTGGCCAGTCCTGCAGTGTCTTCAAACCCTCCACCCAGCTCCTTGTTGCAGGAAAGGTCTAGTGTCCTCAGCTCACACAAGTATCTAAAGGCAGCATCTACAAAGAAGGTCAAAATCCTGCTCTGACATATTACAGGACAGTCAGCAGGAGTGGAGCAGGGGAGGGGGCAGGTGTGGAGAAGGGAGACTAAGAAAATACATACACTGTGATGACAAAACCCCAGATGGAGGGATAACTGTCTGCTTTGTACCACGAAGCCCTTTGGACCTGACAATGTCTTCGAACACTCTCCCTTTGACCTACATTGATTGCTAGCGCTTTTGCTTCGATTTCTGCACCTACTGGTTCTTCCTCTACTATCCTTGAGCATTGGTACATTAGCAGCATTCTAGACTGAAACTGCCAAGGAGAAGGATAGGACAGGTTCTAGAAGATGAAAGGATAAAAATACATTTCACTTGGTATTCTCAAGTAATGTGGGTACTCTATATAGCAGAGTAAATTTTAACTACAGATGTCACTGAAGTTGTTTTTATCAGCACCAATTCCTTCTTACTACTAAGCATAAAATAATGCTGGCACTTTCAAAAGTAAGAGAGAAATGGAGAGCTTTAGTAGCACACTTTTATTTTGCACACTGTCTCTCTCAAACCTAAAATACCCTGGCCTTTTCGGAGTTGGCCATTTAGTTTTGTAATTGTAAAAATACATGCTCACTGTAAAAGACTTGGAAAATCAATAAAACTTGAAGATTTAAATTACCCATGATCTCATTCCCCAACCTAACCTCTGTTTCTAGTTTGTTATATTTCCTAACAGCTTAAAAAATCAAATGTAAAATAAAATTATATAGAAGCTTCAGTCATTGCTAACTTACCCAGTAGCTTGACACTCCTTTGTGACAACCCACATGAAAGTAACTTCAAGACTTTCAGGTTTGATGTACTTTTTAGTCCATGAGCAATACTATTGAGACTGCCACTGATGTTTCTGTTAATAGAAAGATCGAGTACTTCAAGGTTTTGCAGTCTAGGTAGCAACTGACCTGGAAGAAAAGAAATCAAAGAACAACTCAGTAAAGACTTGTAAGCGTACAGTCCACAAGCTCAAGGGTTTGTATCTTGCTCCCTTCTTGCAACGTCTGGAGGATCAGAGGCAAGTTTCCTCCCACTTTACTGTTCCAGGACAAATTCAACTCTTCAAGTTCAGGCAGCACTCTAAGTGCTTCTCCTGTTGAAAAAAAAAGAAAAAGGTCCAAAGATCAGATTGGTTGTCAGGTTCACAAAGCAGGGAATTCATTTCAAAGTCAATACAACCATCATTTCTAAAGTATTGAAGCCGGGCCAGGTCCTGGTTAGATGCCAGGGAACAGGGAGGAGAAAAGGACCCAGTTCCTACCCACGACCAGCAGGGTGAGCTTCTAGGCACAGCCAGGGTTATGAAGCCACGCTCATAAGCAAAAATTGTAAAAACAACAACAACAAAAAAAAAATCCACCTGTCGGTAAGGTGTGTGTGTGTGTCTTAGTCACTCAGTTGTATCCAACTCTTTGCGACCCCATGGATTGTAGCCCGCCAGGCTCCTCTGTCTGTGGGATTCTCCAGGCAAGAATATTGTAGTAGGTTGCCATTCCCTTGTCCAGGGGATCTTCCTGACCCAGGAATCTAACCCAGGTCTCCTGCACTGCAGACAGATTCTTTACCTGAGCCACCATGATTTTACCAAATCGTTTTTATGGTAGTAAATATTTCTACCAGTCCATCTACTTTCTCTCATCCACCCTCTTTAGGGATCATTATTGCTGAGAAGCTTGTCCAGAGGTAGAAATATAAAAGATTTAGAAAATAAAACATGAAGATTTAAATCACCCATAATTTTATTCCCCAACATAACCACTGTTATATTTCAGCCAGAGGTAGAAGCAAAAGCAGGGCACTGGCCATCACAGAGGAGAAGCTCACTCTGACTTCAAGAATATCACGTACAACTGATCCATCCACTGCAGGGAGGAGTGAATAAGCGAGCACTAGGCATTAGCAGGAGAAGGCAATGGCACCCACTCCAGTACTCTTGCCTGGAAAATCCCGTGGACGGAGGAGCCTGGTGGGCTGCAGCCCATGGGGTCGCGAAGAGTCAGACATGACTGAGAGACTTTCACTTTTCACTTTCATGCATTGGAGAAGGAATTGGCAACCCACTCCAGTGTTCTTGCCTGGAGAATCCCAGGGACAGCGGAGCCTGGTGGGCTGCCGTCTGTGGGGTCGCACAGAGTCGGACACAACTGAAGCGACTTAGCAGCAGCAGCAGGCATTAGCAGCTCACCATGCCTTCGGATGCAAGCAGCTCATGACAGCCCTGGGGTAAAGAAGGATGCAGTGAGCAGGGATGAAACTTAACATTTCTGACACCATTTCACACAGGAAACACTTGAGGGCTACAGAGTGGAAGCCGGGAGAGAATGGGGGATCAGCCCTTAGGAATGATTGTCATTGATTTGGGGGCAGAACAGAATGGTGAGCTGCACACACGCAAAATGTACTTTCTGAACATGTGGAGTCAATCTGAACACCAATTAAGAGTGTTGGAAGGTCCACTGGGTCCAGAAACCTCTATTCTACTGCTGGATACCAGGCGTGAACTTCTGCCGCAGATGATTTATTCTATGGGTTAAGGTTTCTCGGGCTTCCCTTGTGGCTCAGCTGGTAAAGAATTCACGTGCACTGCAGGAGACCTGGGTTCGATCCCTGGGTTGGGAAGATCCCCTGGAGAAGGAAAAGGCTACCCACTCTAGTATTCTGGACTATATTCTAGTATCATGGACTATACAGTCCGTGGGGTTGCAAAGAGTCAGACATGACTTAGCGACTTTCACTTTAAGGTTTTTGGAGTCCAAGAGCCCCACTTAAAAATGCAAATTCTTCAGGAAGTTTAACAACATAAGTTGATAAACAGGTATCACTTTGTATGCCATTGCCAGTCAATGGAGTGTGACTTTAATAGCCCTGAGGCATGCCCAGAATCAGGGAGAAAGAGGGCATGATTGTCTGTAGTACATCTAATTGGAGGGCTATACAGTTGCCATCCTGCACTAAGCAATTGTAACAGGTGTAATAATGTTGGAATGACTCCTGATTTGTGCTTTCTTAACAATAAACCATTTACTCTCCTACTTTTCTTATGCCCCATCTGCCATTACGGCTAAGTAGAGTATGGATGATAAGAAAGCTCCTCCTGGTGAAGAGGATACAGAAGTCCTTCCAGAGAGGATAACTTCTTGAGGAGAGGGAAAAGGACACAGAATGTCAGTGACAAGGTTGCAGACTCTCTCCTGGACCAGATGAGTTTGGAGTGAGTCCCAGGGTAGAAATTCCACTTGCTGGGTTTCCCTTGTGGTCTGTGGTAAAGAATCTTCCTTGAAATGCAGGGGACACTGGTTCGATTCCTAGTCAGGGAAGATTCTACATGCCTCGGGGCAACTAGGCTCCTGTGCCACGACTACTGAAGCCTGAGTGCCCTAAAGCCTGTGCTCCTCAACAAGAGAAGCCGCCACAGTGAGAAACTCATGCCCTGCAGCTAGAGAGTAGACCCCGCTTGCCACAACTAGAGAAAAGTCTGTGCAATGAAGACCCAGTGCCTACAAAAATAAAATTAAAATTAGTTAATTAAATCTAAGCATTAAAGAAAATTTAATTTCTGGTTCCTTAAGGTTGGAGGATCATGAAAAAGATTAGATTAGTCAAAAATAAAGAAACTATACTTCTTTTCATGACTGAGTAACAGTATGTTAAATTTGAGACTCTGCTACATGATAACCAGCTGCTAACCTGTGAGGCTAAATTGATCATAGAAAACCATAGAAAGGTAATTTTGGATGGGGAAATAGGGAAAGAGGGACTTATTGATTATTGAGCGCCTACTATGTGTCAAGCATGTAGTAGGTACTTTATAAAAATTATTTAATCCTCACAATTTTTTGAGGTGGCTATCATCCCCACTTCAGAGGTAATAAAACCGAAGCTCGGAAAGGTTGTTTTGTCCATGGTCACAAAAGTAGTTAGAAGTGGGACCAGGATTTTAACTAGGATCTGGCCATTTTCTAAGGCATGAATAGAGAGAAGTGCATCTGTGCATGCTCAGTCATGTCTGACTCTGTGACCCCCGTGGATTGTAGCCCACCAAGCTCCTCTATCCATGGGATATTTCTGACAATACTAGGGTGGATTGCCATTTCCTCCTCCAATTCAGAGAAAAGACATTGGCATAAATTTTGTTGCTTTTACAGAAATCTTTGCCAAGATGTAAATGATCAAAATACATCATTGAAATAAAGACTTGAGATGAAAAGAAGACTAAAAAAGTATGTCTGGCATCTAAAATCAGCAAGCATTCCAGTAAAGCAGCTGGGTTAGCAGCATGACAAATTTTAGCCTACATTTTAGGTTATTCAATGTTCAACATACAGAACTAACTTAACCGAGGTTCTGGTTCTACGTAAACCATTGCTTTTATTTGAAAAATCTTGTTTTGATCAATTTTTTTAAAAATAGGAATGGGAAAAGAGAAAAGTATTTTGAAGTTGGAAAGGAACTTAATTTATCTATCCCAATTTCTCTGTGTTACAGATGAGGTAACAGACCCAGAGTGAGCAAAAATTTTGCAATTATTATTTCCATTTAAACTCCCTGAGACCAGAGGCTTGCTCAGCCTGTTCCCCTCTTTATCCCAGGGCTTAGCTTACACAGTTCTCTAAAAAGTATGCAAATCCTCAACACAGCACTGCATCATGTACAGACAATGCTTTCATCCTCGTCCATGGGAATCCACAGGGAGTGGTCACCCAGGTAATTTGCCCTTGAGGGTTTGGATTGCAGAGATCCTTCCAGGCAAGCACTCTCTCAAGGGAAGCATTCATCATACCCAGTGCCCGAACATCCTCAGCGGTAAGTCTGCAACTACCCAGCCTCAGGATTTTTAACTTGCTGACAAGATGCATTTGCTGGGTGAATACATGGAGGTTTCCACCTATGACATCATTCCAGGAAATATCCAGGTTTTCCAAGTCTGGGAGAGAAGGCAGCAAAGCAACTAGAAGTGAACACAAGAAAAGACAGATTTACATGTGGAATTTGTGACTTGTAGTAAACAGGATCCATCTACTGCTTGTTGCTCTGTAAGAGGATAGAAGGATGGACGGGCTGACTTTCCGCACAGCAGGGCTCCCTGAGGGGTGCAACTGGAGATGTTGTGATATTACATATCCTATTTCTTGGGACCTTTTTTATTTCTGCCAAATAACTGCATTCTGAAAAGGCAGTGGTGTTTCTCTGAGATTTCATAATAATTCCTTTACTGCAGTGGAAATGGTAATTCAACTACAAATGTTACTACCGCTGTCACCACAATGTGTATACACTGGTCCTTTTATTTTGCAAACCCTCTAACAACCACCACCCTGTCATTCATTGGATCTTCAAGCTGAAGGCCTGGGGAACACTCCATTGGCCAGGACTGCTCAGACCGTGCCCATTAACTCTTTTTCCTTATCTAGATCACCTGGGTAGCACCATCTTACAAACCTCCTGTTATACCTACATGGGCCAACATGTGGAGGTTTAGACGGGCACAAAGCCTGACCAGAACCTTCTCTGAGTCTCCTCCATTGCCCACGAAAAGTGAAGCTGCTCTCCGTGAACAAAATCATCCAAGGTTGTCTTTATCTCCTGCAGCAACAAGACTTGAGAGTGGAAATGCCAAAGTCGAGGTTGGAAGGTATCTTTGCTTGCTTGCTTTAAATAAATATCTTGGACGTCAAAATAGTGGCAGGATTTAGACGTTACACGGTGAGCTTCCAGTGTTACAGGCACAGCAATTCCTGACCTTCCACCATTCTGAAGAAATTCTGAACACATACTTAGGGGCAAAACTTTGTTTATGTTTTCTTTTTACCAGCATTGAAAGCGTTAGTCACTTAGTCACGTCCTACCTACTCTTTGCGACTACATGTACTATAGTCCACCAGGCTCCTCTGTCCTTGGGATTCTCCAGGCAAGAATACTGGAGTGGGTTGCCATTTCCTTCTCCAGGGGATCTTCCCAGCCCAGGGACTGAACCCAGGTCTCCCACATTACAGGCAGATTCTTCACTGTGAGTCATCAGGGAAGCCCAAAGCATGTCAGCAATTTCAATTTGTTTACCATGATCCTAGCTTTACAAAGTATGAAAGTCTACTGAACACATTGGAAGGCAAAAAACCAGCATTCCTGGGACCCACTCTGGAAGATTTCAGTTCAGTGGGTTTGGATTGGACTCAAGCATCTGCATTTCCACAGCTTCTGCAAGATACTGACACATATACAGGCATTTGAGAACCACAGGCATGGTTACAGTTTCCTGCTAAGAGATCTGTCTCAAATGTAATGGCATGGATTTTCATTAAAATAGTCAAGGACCGACTCCCCTCACTTAAAACGCAGTTCTCTTGATTCCTCTGTTGGTAGACACATTTAATGTGATTAAATACTTGACTTAAGATATCCAAAAAAAGAGAATCTTTAAGAAGGTGATGATGGTGTTGTTGGGGAGAGGGTTTTTTGCAACCAAACTCCTATTGGAGTGTCACAAACAGTAGTTGTACTCTTGTGTAAAAAAAGATGTGAGCTGTAATCACTAGGAATGATACTTTTCATTCCGCAGACAGCAACATGATGCCCCTTTAAATTCCCAGCAGGGCTTGCTTTTATGGATGAGTTTATATCCTATGCAGGAGCAGATGAATTTCAGAGAGTTAGAGGTAATTAGTAGAGAGGTAAAATTGCTCAGGGAAAACAAACCTCCCTCCTAAACTTGGGCTCAAATCTTTGAAACTTGAGGAAGAATCAATTGACTTAAAAAAAAAAAATAGCGACGTAGCTGCTCTTCCCGAATTGTCCAGGCCACCCTGCAGACCTCGGGTTACCCAGTGAGGTCGGAGTGCTTAGCCTGCTCATCTCAGCCCTCTGCGCCCTCTTCGCCTCTGGATAAGGCTGACTCCATACAGACCCGTCTCCGTCACATCCACTGCTGTCAGCCTGCAGTTGTTCAGATCTAGACACTTGTTGACAGCCTTTCTGCCCAGCTTCCGCAGAAACCACTCGTTTTCCTGCATCCTGGATCCCAATTCTGTTTCTGAAGTGAGAGTCTTGGCTGTTCCTAGACCCTTCAACCAATAAATCCAGAGAGAGTAGTGCCTACAAGAGCTTTTGTATTTTCTCAACTCCTGCCAGAGAATATATTCAGAAAACCTCATTTGTCTTTGTTATAAGGTAGTTTTTTTTTTATGGACATATGTGACACCCTTGCCAAGTTCTTCTGTAATAATGCTGCACTAACATGTCACTAACATTTAAAAAGATTAAATAAAAATAAGAAGCTATAATTTTGTGTGTATGTTAGTCTCTCAGTCATGTCTGACTCTTTGCAACCCCATGGACTATATTAATTTTATTAATTAACAATTAATAAATGTATTAATTTTATTGTTTACTACTGCATGTGTCAACATGTAAGCCACATGTGGAACATACTGTACTTTTGTAAGACAAAATGAATAAGCATGTACGGACAGTGACTTTAATGAGGTCCTGTAGTGATAATACATATAGGGACTTCCCTATTGGTGCAATAGTTAATAGTCCACACTCCCACCACAGGGGGCATGGGTTCAATCCCTTGTCAGGGAACTTAAATCCTTCATGCTGTGTGGTCAGGCCAAATAAATAAATATAATACATACAAACAGTATGCATACTGGGATCCAATAGGAAAGCATAAGTTCGAATGTACAATAATACTCTACTAACCCTGACAAAAAGGTATACAAATCATATAGAGAAAAAGAAATATATTGGCACCAGGGAAAATGAAAAGATAGCAGCATTACCATAGTAGTAAATTTAGACTAAAATATTAGCAGGATAATAAATACTCCATCTCTCTTCTGCAGTGGGTCTACTGGCTTGCCACCTACAGGCTGCACATCTTTGATAGGATGGTTGGTGTTGCCACATTCTGCCAGTAAGAGGCAGCATCATCCTCCCACTGTTTACCTCTTCACTCTGGCCTTCAGTTTTTATTATAGTAAGTTGGATACAAGGTATTTTATTTTAGGTAGGGTTGCAGATTTAAGAAAAACAAAAATACCATGTCCAATTAACCTTAAACTTCTGATGAATGAAGAATCATTGTTTAGTAAAAGTACATCCCAAATAATGCAGGTATTTTTTCTTTTTCTGACAACCCTAATTTGGGGTGGATCAGAGGAGAGTTATGGATGAGGGAGACGAGGAGGGACTGCCTTTTACATGCCAGTGAGGACAGAACATTTTGTGTACATTTGATGTGAGGAGTCGTAAGCACACTGTCTCATAGATTTGGAAGCCGAGACTCAGACTGTTAATTGGTCAGCAGCAGAGTCAGAATTTGAACCCAGAACAATCTGCTCTGAAGCCCATTATGTGTGTGTGCTTTTTAAATTTTTGTGCTTAAAATTTTTTCTCTGCATTGTGTCTTATTGTGCTCCTTTTTGTCTTTTAGCTTTTTCTTTTTTTTAATCTCTGTAGGTTCAACGTATAACCATGGTCAAGTTCCAGCTTCAGCAAGCCTTCTTTTTCTGTTTTCTCCTCAAGCCACTGTTCTGTCAATCATTTCCTTTACTGTCAAATGTTTGAAAAGAGTGGAGTGTGCCTGCTAGCCCTGCTTCTTCAACACAGTCACCAATTAATCCTCCACATTCTAGTTGCCACGCTCACCTGGCCAAATAAATTGCTTCTCCAAGGTCACCACCACCAATGATGGCTAGGCCTTTAAGGATGGTTGTTCTCTTGATCTCTGTCCATCCCCTGCCTGACCAGGCCTTGCTTTCCTCACATGACTATCCAATCCTCTTAATGACAGGGCTTTATCAGTAACTGCCTGCCTGCTTGCCCCCTGCCCCAGCTGCTGGCTTCCCTGGTTACTGATGAGCCCACCTCCCCTATAAATGGGAGCCTCCTTCTCCTGGTGAATATCAAAGACTGCTGCCCTGTCCTGCCCGTTGTCTGTCACACATGGTGGGGTGTGATTCCAGGGCCTTTCTGTAAGATGCCCCTAACCAATGAACACTGATGCCTCTATTGCTGTCACCAGGCTTTTTCTTTGGTCTTAAGTCGGGGCAACTACAAGATTTGCAGGCCAGCGGGGTGCAGCCCAACAACCAACCAACAGATTCTGAAATCCCTTTGCAGACCACATCCTACTTGACTGCTCTGTGATATATATTTTATATGATTGGCAAGTCCAAGGCAGCACAACTGGAAAACCTGGATCAATTCGTGGGTCCATCAGGTAAGCAAGTCATTTAACTTCTCTGAGCCTTGGTTTACTCATCTATAAATTGGAAACTATAATTCCCACCTGGATCATTTATCAGGAGTGTAGTGACTTAAAGTTGCTGAACCTTCCCAGGAAGATGGGCCTCTATAATACCTTTGACATGATACATACTTTGTAAACACTGTTGAATGAACAAATAGCTAAATGAGTTGCGGGGAGCCGGCCTGCTCAAGGCCCAAAAAGGCCCTGGGAAAGCCTTGAAAGAGGCTGTTCCCTGTCCCGACACCCCATGATAAAGTAGTAAAACATTTGCTGGGCCTCCTTTGTTCTTCCTCGAGAAAAACGTAGTAGTGACCTTCACTTAGTAGTTTATCTTGGAATGCCAAAAACAAGATGTAAGCTTCTGCAATCACTTAAGACAAAAAATTGTATTGATGTAACAAACACCAGATGGCATTTTTTATGAACTATGTTTTCTGTTTGTACTAGTATAAAGGTAGCTGCTTTCCTCAATAAGATCGCTGACTTGCTTAAAGAGCATTCAGCCCTCTCGACCCCATTCTTTACTTTCAGCTTTTTTTTCTCAGGCTTCCGTGTTGCTGCGGTCTAGACCTGTTCACATTGCCGGCTGGTCCCGGCAATGAGTGAATGAATGAATATTAGCTTTATAGTTCCTCAATTACCAAAATCAAGATGATAAATCTGTATCAAAACACCTAAGTATAAATATGAATACCAGTTTTTGAGGCCCCCACACATCACCTTACAGACCATATATATGTTTTTTTAAATCTATGAAACTCTTCCTTCAAAAAACATCTTATGTCACAGATCAATATATGTAACAGATGAGTCAGATCTGCTACAGGTTGGCGGTTGCTACAGAAGGGCTGGTGCTCCGTGGAGGGGGGCAAAGTGACCACATGTGAGCAGCTCCGCGGAGCGATTCAAGGCCTTTTCTGGCTGCTGTTCTGCTGAACCAAATTCTTGCTTCTCCAGGAGATTCTGTGAGCGAAGCAGGATCTTCTCACCTTAGTTCTCTTCCAAGCTAAACCTGGAGAGGTTGGCTTTGGTTGTTTACAACCAAGAATCCTAATACTCTCATAAAACATGATTATATGTTTGCAACGTGGGTGGTGCAGTGCAAGGAATCAAGATAACAAGCTCCTGTTATCAAGGAGCTACCTGTCTGATGGAGGAGACAGATGAGACAGCCAGGGTCACAGTACAGAGGAAAAGTGCAAGGGTGGAGGCCAGCAGGGGTGCCAGGTGGCCCAGGGTAGAGACAGTAAATGCTTTGGTTCTTGGGATGGGTCTTGGCAAGCTTCCAAGTGAAAGTATTAGTCGCTCAGTCATGTCCAACTCTTTGCAACCCTGTGGACTATAGCCCACCAGGCTCCTCTGTCCATGCCATTCTCCAGGCAAGAATACTGAAGTGGGTTGCCATTTCCTTCTCCAGGGGATCTTTCCAATCCAGGGATCGAACCCAGGTCTCCCACATTGCGGGCAAGTTCTTCACTGTCTGAGATGCCAGGGAAGCCTAAGTGAAAGTGGTAGATAAATTTCACCTTAAAGATGAGTTGGAGTCAGCCAGGTGGGTGGTCAGGAGAGAGGGATAAGTGGGGGAGGGGTGCAGAGGGAGAATAGAGACACAAGGGAAGGTCTTTTTTGGTACAGGGAACCATTCTGGGAGAATGTGGCCAGATCAGGAAACTGCAGGTAAATCAGAATATCAGCAGTAGAGGATGAATGTGAGGCTGGGGGAAGGCAGAGGCCATGAAGAGATATTCAGCTTACCACAAACACAATGAAGATCATGCTTGAGAGTATAGACTTTCTCTTCAAGGCAAGAAAGACTCACTGAAGAATTTCAAACCAGTGGAAGACATCTGTGGTTTAGAAAGGGCATTCGGCGGAAGTGTGGGGGACAGGCTGGCAAGACAGCAAGACCAGGAGGAGAGAGACCAGGTAGGAAACAGTGGCAGTGGTCCATGCCGTAGACGAGAAAGCCAGGACAGCAACAGAGAAGACCAGCCAGGTCCCAGAGCCATCTGGGGGGCAATTCATGCAACTCCAGGGGCCGCTGAGTCGGGAGAAATGAAAATGGAGAAGCCACACACATCTTGAGGGGCTGGTATTGGCCAGCTGAGATAACCAGCTGACCGCACTGTTAATTTAATCATGATAATAGGTATCCACTGGGGCTTCCCCAGAATCCACTTGCTGACAGAGGAGATGCAGATTTGATCCCTGGGTTGGGAAGATCCCCTGGAGGAGGAAATGGCAACCCAATCCAGTGTTCTTGCTTGTGAAATCCTATGGACAGAGGAGCCTGGCAGGCTACAGTCCATGGGGTTGCAAAAAAATCAGACACCACTGAGCACTACTACATGGGTATCCATTAACCAAGTTCCTAAAGCCCCAAGTCATATTTTAGAACAAACAGCAACAACTTTCTGATTACCTTCTTTTAAAGATAGACTTCTTAATTTTCTACTTTCAAAAATGTATTCAAACTGCTCACAGGTAAAGTGATATTTCTGGTATTTGGTACAAATAATCTGACAGACATGGGGGTAAGTATAAATGAAATAAGACTGGCCATGGGTTGATAATTGTTAGAGGAAGGTAATCATGGGGACTTGTACTGTTCTCTCTTATATGTGTTTGCATGAAAAGTATAAATGTTTTAAAAATACATTTACTCTAATGATGTATTGATGACCCTGTATATGTCATGACTTTAGAGAGAGATTGGCAATATTTTCATAACCCTTGAATTTGTAATCTCTGTGCTGGGAACTTTCAGCTATTTAGTGTAATACAGGGAAGCAGAAAACAAGGGAGGGGGAAGGCCAAAGATATTCACCAAAGGGCAAAAAGAGGAACTTAAGTATGCCATAGGCATGGAATGGAATATTATGCTACTGTCAAAAGTAGGCACATGAACATCATGTAACCATGTGAGAACTGAACAGTATAATAAGTCCCAGAAGTAGGATCATGGCTCCATGTAAGCTCAGGGGGGTTTATAAGCTCTTCTAATTGTACAAAGTATGTCCATTTGGCCTCTGCTACCTCGTCCTCTCTCCATCTTTCATCCTGCTTCAGTATCCCTACCCTCCGGGCCAGCTCTCAAGCACTCCAGGCTCACTCCCATATTGGGCCTTTGCATTCACAGATCCCTTTGCCTGGAAAGCTACTCCCTAAAATATCTATATGGCTGGTAACCCAGGGATCGAACCTACTTCTCTTGCAACTCCTGCATTACAGGCTGATTCTTTACCTCTGAGCCACCAAAGAAGCCCTTAGGGGAGAAAATTGTTCTAAAAAATTAAGAAATAACATCAGGCAGAAGCTTACCAAAGTCTAAGGAGATTGTCTTCGGTGTCTTGTCCTGGGATTGGGAATCAGTTGTTTTAGCGTCAATGCTCTCTTTTCTGCTTCCAGCTTTGGGGAACCTGGATTTTGACCCCCTGATGCTCTCATTGACAAGTGGAGCCTGGGGTGTAGTTTCTCCATCTGAGGAGCTTTTCTTCCCTGTTCGACTCATGGTCAAGTTGAATAGGGTCTTTCTCAATAAGCCATCTTCCTGNTTTTCTTCCCTGTTCGACTCATGGTCAAGTTGAATAGGGTCTTTCTCAATAAGCCATCTTCCTGCGGTTTTCTGTTTTCTAGGATTTCAGCAAGAAAAGAGAGTAAGACTGTCAAGCCTCTGTGAAATCCAACTTCCCTACACACGTTTTTGTTTCCTCTTTCTGTTCTTATTGCTGATAATGTTTAACGTAGTAATAAGAAGGACGTAACTCAGGATCCTGGAACTAACAGATGGCAGCAGATACAAATCCAAAGCAAATTTGAGTTTGAAACTTTGCCCTATTTTATTGGGAGAAACGATTCTTTAAACACCACTTGGACAAGTGCATTGAATGTGTCGATACCTTTTAAATTTCAACAGTCATAGTTACCTTCTGAGAGAGATTGTATAAAAGAAGTTGGCATGCCTCTAAGCTCCCTGGCCCTTTGCAAAGCTGCCCAGAGGAGACTGCTTCAGTGACTCCAGGTGCATCTCTTGGCACACTGTTCCTTTTCTCTTGGCATTTTCACCTTCCCTACTCAGCCCTGCACTTTTCCCCATAAAAACACAACAGCAGTCAGGAATTAATTTACTCCACGAAGTGAACATCTCTGGGCCAGATACTGTTCTTGACGCAAGAGAGTCAGTGACTAACAAGACGCAGCTCATGTTACTTAAAAGTCTTAACCTGATGGAAAAGATGGGCCCATATGCCAGTAATTACCCTGGGACAAAGGCCGTCAGGGAGGAGAGACCCCTGTGGTCAGGAAACCCACCGTTAGATTAAGCCAGACTTGGAGCATAACTCTGAGCAATGAATGACATTACCTGGGTTTTGAGGTAGTTAAAAAGAGAGAAGGCAAAGTGTCCCAGGCAGGAAAAATCAGTCTCACAAGTTCCAGGTATGAAGACCTAAAGGAGCCTGGGGTTGCCTCTAGGAGAGGATTCTGGGTGCCTGGAGCAAGGGATGTGGGGGCTGGAGGTTAGGGGTGGGTCTGGTGTGACTTGAGGCTCAAAATTCATGAGGGTTTAATCTATCATCCTTCCTGGGATCTGCTTACATTTTACAGGAGGATTAAAGACTTAAACAGGGTTTCCCAGGTGGCGCTAGTGGTAAAGAATCCACCTGTCAAGGCAGAAGATCCAAGAGAGATGCTGGTTCTATCCCTGGGTAGGGAAGATCCCCTTGAGTGAGAAATGGCAACCCACTTCAATATTCTTGCCTGGAAAATCCCATGGACAGAGGAGTCTGGCAGGCTACAGTCCATGGGGCTGCAGAGTCAGACACGACTGAGCAAATCAACTGAGTACTAAAGACTTAAACTAAAGGGATAAAACTATAAATGGAATTTTAGATTCTGCTATTAAAGTTTAGATTCTGTCCTTAGGCTCGGGCCTAATAGATAGTCTTGAAATAACAATGTTCATGGCTCCCTTCCTATAAAATAGGTCTGTCTGTAATACTACATTCCAGAATGGTTCAAGAAACATTTTGCTCACAGGGGATCCTCAATGACCTTGCAGAGCCCACCTCCATGCTTGGGGGATGGAATGTTACTAATACCTAGAATACTACTTTAATGATTTCACTTATTTATTTTTGGCCCTGATCAGGGATGGAACCCATGCCCCCCTGCAGTGGAAGCTCGGAGTTTTAACCACTAGAGCACCAGGGAAGTCCCCTGGAGTACTATTTTAGAAGTAACAGCTAGGGGTCTTTTTTTTTTTTTTTGTCTTTTCAAACTAGAGCAGGATTCAGCCCAGGTGTTTACAGGAACAGACAGCTCTGGGACCAGACAGTTGTCCAGCTCCAGCCCCACAGCTGACCAAGCCTCAGAAGGTTAGGTGGGAGAGACCTTTAGCTTGTGAATCCAGCCACAACCTGCAGCCGTGCCTGCCCCATTTCAGTTCCACCATCGCCCAAGGGCCCTTTTCCTTTCACTGCTTCTCTGGCATCCACCCAAGACTTACCTCCATGGTCACTTTCACTCAATTTCACCTTCTGGAGGTATACACACAGCCATTCTCTGGAGCCATCCCAGTAAATGCTTTCCCTTTTTCTCCCTGCTCCTTAAATGTTGTGACTTCAACTCCCAAGCCTTAAGAAAACACTGCGGGGTGGTGCTCCAGGATGTGGTCATTTCCCCGCATGAAACCCCACCCAGCTGGTGAGGCCCTGCTGGGCTCTCCGTGTGCATGAGGACGGGGCAGAGCAGAGTGGGGAGGGCCGGGAGCCAGGGAGGGTCAGAAACTACACAGAGGAAACAGCACACAGTGGGGAACGAGGAAAGCAGAAAGGAAAAGAAAGCTTCTGAGAGGCACCAGGGAATCGGGAAAGTCCCAAGTACGAGGAAGGCCGGCTTGTGGGAGTGAAGGGGAAAGCACCCGCCTATTTCTTGATGCACAGTGGGTTAAGCAGTAGGCTACCATGCTCCTGCTTAGAAAAGAAGTGTTTTCAAAATGTCTTTGGGGAATTCCTCTTTATATACAAACTTGAACAAGTTCTCAGACTTTCTCACAGCAACTCAAGCTTTAAGTCTGGCTTCCCCCACATCTCTGTGCTGGGTTTTTCACTGTGAAGGTAAACAAATCCTGGAAACTGAATTTGGGGAACTTTTCAGATCATAGCATAATTAGACTATAGCCACAAAAGAAAACGGAGGTTTTGCCTCTTCTCCCAGAATCAGAGGCATTCACTTAAAAGCTCTTTGGGAAAACCAATGGCTGGCATTTAGCTGAGTAATTATTGTTGATAATTTACTGTATTATCAGTTGGTAAGGCTATTTGCCATGAAACCCCAAGGATGATACATATTTGACACATTACTTCTCTTTTAAGTGGTTTTCATTTATTTTTGCAAAAGTGAGGAATATCTTTTTTTTTCCATCCTTAGGTTTTTGGCTTAATGTTTATTTAAAATTTTCAAGAAATGCTTTNAAAAAAAAAAAAAAAAAAAGCTCTGGAGATCAGTTGCTCAGCAATGCAAGTATATTGAACACTACTGAACTGCAGATTTTGAAATGGTTAAGATGTTAAATTTTATGTTTTGTGAGTTTTTAAAATTTTTTAAATTAAAGTATATTTTAAAAATATGATTCAGAAGGCTGACTCTAAATGTAAAGAAGTTTTAAAAATGCTTTAATCACTTTTTGCTTTTTTCTCCTTATGTATTTACAAATATGGCATAATTTTTAAAAACCCAAATGTCTAAATGGGTTTTAAGAAATACAAAGTAAAACTCCTAGGTAATTTTTAAAAACTGACTCAGTCACTCAGTTCTAAAGCATTCTGGTGGCCCACAGTATCTTAGGTCACTTGTCTAATGGGCCTATTACTTCAGCGCTATTCAGAACTCTTATCTTGAAAACGTATTATTGTAGATACATTTCTAGCATTGGTTAATACTCCTATTCTCAATGAATTTAGGCAAGGAAAGGGGTTTACTAAAAGGATGACAACCCTTCTTTTAAAAAGGTGGCAAGAGGAAGAGGACATATGTATACCTATGTTTGATTCACATTGATATATGGCAGAAACCAACACAGTATTGTAAAGCAACTATCTTCCATTAAAAATAAACAAAATTTTAAAAGATTACAGTGTGATCTGTTTTGCAAATAATAACAACAGAAAAGAACATTTATTAAAAAAAAAAAGATGGCAAAGGTAAACATGTGTTTACCCATGTTAGGAATTTAAAAAACACAACCACTTAAGAAATCTGTGAGGATATAGAAAACTGGATAGATGCCAACAAAATTTTGTAATCTAGATAGCATGAAGATGCGTTTACCTGACTTTATACTTAATTCCCTGCAAAGGCTGGGGTAAATATTTTATAATTTTTCAAATTTCTGAAACCCAAAGGTTCAGTAAGTGTACCCGTAATTGTACCAGGTAACTTGGAAGGAAGACGTGGGTATGGGTAGGGGTGAAAACAGTATGATTAGTTTAAAAGTGTAAGAAGTTAAGCTAACCAATTCCATTTCTCACCCCAGGGCAGACTGAAGACTGCTCTTTTTCCCACCCTGGAAAAGACAGAAAGTTTATTTTCAGAACCAGTTGAATCACAGAGGATCTGGATTCAGAGACTCTGGTTATGTTTTGAGTACTTTATTGGATACAGAGGTTGAATAAAGTCTATGTACGGAAAAATAAGATCTCTCCCTATTTCCCCTGTAGGTCCTCGAAGAACACACTGGCAACCAAACTTAGTCACTCTCTTCCCCCACCCAGTGGAGGTAGGTGGAAGGACACCTATGCAGGAAACTGACCAACCCAAGAGAAGGACCCTACAGATCCTGATTGTGTCGAGTCCCTCAATTAAATGAAGCTGCAGTTGCCCAAGCAATTACAGAGAGGTCCGCTGATCAACACATCCTATCGGCTTCCCTGGTGGCTCAGATGGTAAAGAATCTGCCTGCAATGCAGGAGACCTGGATTCATTCCCTGGGTCAGGAAAATCCCCTGAAGAAGGGAATGGCTATCCACTCCAGTATTCTTGCCTAGAGAATTCTGTGAACAGAGAAGCCTGGCAGGCTGCAGACCATGGGGGTCACAAAGAATCAGACATGACTGAGTAACCAATACACTATTATGTATATACACAGAGCCCTTCATTCTGTTCCCCTGGAGGAGGAAATGGCAACCCACTTCAGTATTCTTACCTGGGAAATCCCAGGGACAGAGGAGCCTGGTGGCCTACAGTCCACAGGGTCGCAAAGAACTGGACATGACTGAGCGCACACACATTCATGCTCTATATGCCTGGGTTGAGCCAAAGATTTCAAGGTAGTTGAGGAAAGACTCTGAGAAGAAAATGAGATGCAGAAACAGTAAGAAAAAGGAAACATGGAGAAAATAAGGGCAGTGTAAGGAGAAGAAAAGAACTTTCTAAATCACTATTACATTTTGAGAGTTCTTGGGTCCATAAACCAAGAATCAGAAGATGAATAAGAGGGGAACTCCAGGGGAC